CCCCCCCCCCCCGGGCAGCCTTGCCCCAAAAGGAGTGAATCTGCCCTCCTTTTTAGTTACTCTGTGTGTGTGTGTGTGTGTGTGCAGGGAACACCTGAATACCCAGTCGTGTGTAGAGAGCAGACTTCACCCATCTCAAATTGATCTGAGTCACACACAAGAAGAATATGGTCGTTAATTTTGGTAGGAGGATTTGTAACTTTTTCCACCTGCTGATATTGTACCATATTTTCCCTTCACCCACTCACTTGGCCTGGCAAATCTTCCCTCCCAAAGTCAGCTTCAGGAGGCCAGAGTTACAGAGAGACTTGTTTGCTGTTTTATTTGCAAGTGAATGAGTGTGCGACTGCAGGGCGTCTGAGGAAGGGAAATATCGCCAGTTAAACAGTGGAAAAAAGAGCATTCAGTGTATTCAAACCCTGAGGAGGAAGCATTTGGGGCCGAGCACAACAAGCAAATGCTGCCTGCCAAATACAGACTTAAAGCAGACGTGTCTGAAAAGCATAACATGGCCTTGGAGGAGGAGAGTGAGTGCTGAGAGAAGAGAGGAGTGTGTGGTAGGGGAAGAAGCACTGAAGGAAGAGAGGATTTTGCGATGGGGTGTCTAGAGAGGGAGCATAGGTGAAAGGAGGAGAGGAGTGCGTGATGGGGCGTCTAAAGGTCTGATGGGAAGTTGAGTGAAGGGAGAGGTAGTGGTGGTTCCAGTGTATGTATTTTGATTTATAGAAATATTAACAACCAGAAAGGCTCTGATCTTAAAGCCTTAGGCACCTTTGACCTGAATGTTGATGAAAAGTTAAACTAGCAGCAAACAATAACTGCCCAACAGAATTCAACCCAATCCAAAAGTTCCCCTCAATGCCTCACTCTCCCACAGTCCTCAGCTCTGTTAAGATGTCAGGTGGGGTCCTGTACTTTGCAATGTCATTAACCAAATGCCCCACTGTGCTGTACTGTGGCCATCAGGCTGCTTAGCGAAGTCTTACGGCTTCTCCATTGGAGCCCCAAAGTCTGGGGCACCAAAGTAGCTAGTCCCACACAGTCCCTTGGTCTGGAAGAGCCGTACCATTACATCACTAGGTCTGAGTGATGCATAGAATTGGGAGGAAGGTGAATTTATCTGATTGTGAATCAGGGATGTGTTTTACCAAGTGGGGCAGTAATGCCAAGGTTAGTGCCTCCACTGGGCCTAGTGGGTACTGGGGAAGAAGATGTGATTCCTGGGATGGGGGTGTTTGTTAATGCACTGGCAGGCTAACTGCATTGCGAAGAGACCTTGGGAGTGGCATAACGGGGTGTGTGTCTTTCCTCTCTCTGCAGGAACGCAGCTTTGATTGTAAGATCTGCGGCAAGAGCTTTAAGAGATCTTCCACCCTGTCCACCCACCTGCTCATCCACTCGGACACCCGGCCCTACCCGTGTCAGTATTGTGGGAAACGGTTCCACCAGAAATCTGACATGAAGAAACACACTTTCATTCACACAGGTCAGCCCTGCAGCAGCTGGCGTTCAGTCCCTATTCATTAGAATAGATTCTGGAGAGGAGATTCTCTCCTCCCACCAATCCATTCATCTTCAGCCAGACCAGTGCACGCAGCTCCCTCTGCCGGACCCTTGCCCTACTGGAGTAGTTCACACTATGGAAACCCAAGCGGAGCAATGGTGCAAAGAAGGGAAATTTGAACTTGGTTTCATGAACAGCCTCTGTTTAATACCTGAAATCCTCACTGTCCAATCAGTGTTGCTTTAATAGGATCCTCCCTGTGGTTATTCAGAAGGGCTTCTCTGTAAGATGATTTGTAGAGCAGTATATTCATATGGCCTTGATTTAGAGCTATGGCCCTTGGAAAATGACAGGTGAATCTGACTGCTGCATCTCCATCTGCATAGCCTGCCACTTTACAATAGCAGCAGCAGCCTCCTCCTCTAGATTAAACACTAAACTCAAGGGCCCAGGGTCCAACTCTCAGTCTAAATATTTACTCAGAGATTATCTATCTATTGGGCTTCCACCCGGACTTTCCAATCAAATGGTTGCAGTCTGGCATTTAATGGGAGGAGAGGTGCATAGTTCTCAAGTTTCATTGTTGGTGATAATGAATATGGAAATTAATACACTGCAGATAAATTACTCAAGGAAAGCATTTTTCAAAGAATGTTGTTGAAAGAGGCAGCAGGTTTTCTCAGGGACCTTTAAAAATAAAGCTTCCCTTTCAAACTGCTAGCATCATGGATTTAAATCATCGAAAATGAGTGATCTGAATATACATATATAAAATCAGTGCTGTTGTCAAAGTATTTGACTTTCAAAAAGGTCACAAGTGAATTTGTTGTGAAAAACAAATTTAAATATTATTATTATAAAGTTGTCTCATTTAGTCAGGTGTAACTTCAGAGTAAACCCATTGGCTGACTTAGAATTTGTCTCAAGTTGAGACAAACTAAACTTTAGTGGATACATTTGAAAAATTTGGTTCAGCTGAACCATTTAAATAGTAAAATGGGACCGGGGAAGAGAAGAAGAAAGACAATCCATTTTTTTTAAATTGGACTTTATTGGCCAAATCTTTGGCCAGATTCTAAATCAGCTGATGGATTTACTCTGGAATTACACTGGCATAAGCAAGACCAGAATCTGGTAACATACATTACTGAAATGAGACATAGGTTGAAGTCCTGTCCCCATTGAAATCAAAGGGAGTTTTGCCATTAACTTAAATGGGGTAGGATTTCACCCATAGTATTGTCCCAGGGAGAGTGACCCTGTTCTGTGGTCACTTAGAGATGACAATATTGCAGCGTGGAAATCACTTCAAAGCATGGGGCACATTGACTATGGCTAGTTTGTCCTGGATCTGCCTGGATGCTACGTTGATTGTCTAATATGGGGCCTGCCCTCTTTATCCCCTTCTCCTTGTAGGTGAGAAGCCCCACAAGTGCCAGGTGTGTGGGAAAGCCTTCAGCCAGAGTTCAAACCTCATCACCCATAGTCGTAAGCACACCGGCTTCAAGCCCTTTGGCTGCGATCTGTGTGGCAAAGGCTTCCAGAGGAAGGTGGATTTAAGGAGACATCGGGAGACACAACACGGTCTGAAATGAGACCCAGCTGCGATACAGAAAGCACCTACAACACTATGTGAAGAGACTCTCTTCCTTCCCTGATGGCCCTGAGTCATGCCCTTTAGCACAGACCCTGGCATTACTTTTTGGGGAAGGATCTCAGGGAGGATAGGATGGGACACAGCTTTGAAAGTTCAACCAGAAGGACTCTGAAAGTGGATCTGAAAGGCTGGACTTTCTCTCTCACAACACTGGAAAATAAATATTTCCATCTGAAACCTGAAGCTCCAAGTGTGGATAAGCTAGAAAATATCGGTGAACTGGAAAGTCCTTCACCCATGGCAAAGATGAATTCCTTCATCTTTTTATTTTTGAAATTAACTTGCAGGGAAACAGAGTTTACATGATAAACACACTGAGCTGTTAGGTAATGTTATGAAAAGTGCTTGCTTTTGTTGAGTTTAACTGTTAAATAGCTTTATTGATCATTCTCTGTCTGGAGGGCTTGTAGTGGAGGAGCTGGACTGATATCTCGTGGCATTCAGCACCAAGGAATCAGCTTGGGCTTGGTGCTGATCTCACTTATACTGGTGTAAATCGGGACTTACACTGCTGTAAAACTAGTGTGAGAAGAGAATCAGGCCCTTGTCTCCTGTCCTTCCAGCTCTCTCTGTCTGTCTGTATAGACAAGGCCTGGTTGGGTGAGTGTGTGTGTGTGTGTTTGTGTGTGTGTTAGGAGTAGGGTTGCTTGTCTGAAAAGGTTGGGATTTTGCTCTACATCAGTTGGGGAAGGAGAAGCCTATGAAGGACTCAACAGGAAAAGCCAAAGCACAGAGTAATGCCTTATAACTAGGAACTCCTGAGAACAACAGATTGCCCCTGACTGAAAAGAACAGGACCAAATAGAAGGCATGGGCTTTCTGTCCAGAATGACCATCAGCACCAGCACTCTGGGTTTGATTATAAATAACTGGGAAGGAGCTAACAAGTTACTGATAGACTTGTTTGTATATTAGGGTTTTTTATTTTTATTTTTATTTTTAAATGCTACCATGCCGAGGGTGGGCAGGAATAATTATGGACCTGTAATTGATTGAATTTGCCTTAAATGACCCTGTGTGTACCTCAGTGGAAAAATATGCTGTTTTTACTTTGTTGGCAGGATTGTAAATGTCTTTATTTAGATTTTATGGAGTGTCTTATGTTTATTGGTACATATTTATTGGAATAATGTTTTAAATTAATAAAGTATTGAGGATCCTCTATAGTTATTTTCATTGAAGTTCAACAGAGTTAGGAAATTTCACTCTTTATTATTATGCAACATTGTATAAGAACATAAGAATGGCCATACTGGGTCAGACCAAATGTCCATCTAGCCCAGTATCCTGTTTTCCAATGGTGGCAAATGCCAGGTGCCCAAGAAGGAATGAACAGAACAGGTAATCATCAAGTGATCCATATATATTGTGATAGGCGGGCATGGCACTTTACACACGGGGCAGATTTTCAAAAATGCCCTAAAAATTTAAGAAGCTAAGAGACAGGGGCTTAGGAGCATACGTCTCATTGAAAGTCAATGGGACATAGGCACTAAGACCTAGATCCTCAAAGGTATTTAGGCACCCAACTCCCATTGAAATCAAATGAGACTAAAGTTCTTAAGTCACTTAGGCCTTGCAACCGTGAGTGCAGCAATGCCTGAGTACCTTTAAAAATCTGCACCTAAGTTACAGATTCACTTTTGAAAAATTTACCCATGAGCCTTTTCTCACAGAGCTGTCAATTGAAGGCCCTCTCCTGAAGCACATACATATGTGAGTAAATTTACACATAAGGAGGCCCATTGAACTCAATCAGTGGGACTACTCAAATGCATCAAATTACATGTATGAGTGCTTTCATGGTCGGAGCCTTTATTAAGCACAGAAAGACATGACACAAAGGAACAGGGTTACAGCAGGCCAAGCAGAGATGGGGAAGGGTATGCACAATAATATTCTGTAATTGTACATCTTGATAATAGTTCATGTAGGGAGGAATACTCAATAAGCTTGGCACAGGAGATCAGGTAATTGTTAGAGGAATTGTGGGAAAAGTGGGTTTTGGGAAGGTATTTGAAGGAAGAGAGAAAGAGGTGACATGGCATACAGGACCAGGATAGTCCAGGCATAGCGGGGAGCACTGGAGGCAGCACTAGTGAGAGACAAAGCTATGGGGAATGAGGTGTAGGCTGGATGTAGGTGACAAGAAAATATTTTAAATTGGCTTTAGAGGAAAACCAGTAAGCAGACGTTGAATGGAGGCTGGAATATTGATAAGTGAATTCACAGCGGGGACTCTCCTGCTGACCTCAGATTTCAGTTCCAGCAGAAATACTCTCCGCTTTCACTCTGCAGAGGGATTCTTTTCACTCATGAGCAGACTCACCATCGTCAGAAAGATGACTCCAAATTAAAGCACTTTAGAGCTCCCCAGTGCTTCAGGCAGCCTGAACCTTCAGCACTTACCTTGATTTGGTTGATGGCAAATGCAAGTTTTAGGTACCATGTTGCAGCATTGAACTGGGATGCAGGGGTTCTACCTGAACAATGTCTAGCCAGGGACTAATGTTGACAGAACGCTAGCCTAGCCTAGCCTAGCCTAGGGGAGAAGTAAGAAGGTCAAGCCTGGCAGGCTAACCCAAGAGCCTAAAAAGTGTAGGGATTTGGGTGCTTTTCAGAGGGAAATACAATGAACTGATTGAAAAATAGGTTTCTACTTAAAATTTCCTGCTATCTATAGACAAAATCTAAAAGTCTTTATTCAGTCTTTACTCAGGCATGTGGCCCATCACAACCAGGGTGGGTTTTACTTGTGAAAGGACCAAGTTAAAATTAAACAAGGCTACCAGGATTCAGAATAGTGACAAATTCCCTCTACTGTGCATACAAGGCTGGATTCTTTACCAGGGATGCCAGTAGGAGGTCTGCCCTTGACTTCAAAGACGCGCAGGCTCAGGTCCATAAAGAATGACAATTTCAAGGCTAGCTATTTGAAATGAATGGGCAAAAATAACTTTAATAAGCTAACTGGTGAAGAATCAGAACAAATTACTGAGACTGTTAGAGTGTAAATTTGAAGATTGCAAATATCTGTCTTAATGTTATTACTTAGTTCCATTAAAAATGCATTATGCATATTACATGATTCATTATTCATGAAGCAGGTTCCAGACCTTTTGTCTGCCAGCGTAACAGTAGAAAGGGTAATAGGAGACACCAGAGCACACCTTTGTTTCTCTCTGTAAATTTTTAATAACACCTCCAGCTAACCAGTTGGTGAAGCTCAGTGCCTGCATAAGAGTGGAAAGGCAGAGCTGTCTAAGGGAAGACTAAGCCTTTCAGGAGTTAATTTGCGTTTTTGTTCATCCACACTAGTGATGATTAAATTACCTATCGAATGTGCAGAGCTATCAGGCTTCAGGCCATTAAAAACAAGGTGAATTTATCTGATTGTTTTAAAAAACATGGATGGAACAACTGAGAAAAAAAAATCTACCTCCTCTTGATATTATAAAAATACTTACTTCTGGCAAGTTACCTGACTTGTTAATTAGCCACCAAAAGCTGTGTTGAGTGGCCAGTAACCACACCAATTACTTGGGGTAAAACTGCTTTAATCAAATCAGTTAGCAGGATCAACAAATTCAGCAGGAGGAAATGAAGCAACTTTTATTAAGTTCCACCCTGATGTCTAGGATAGCTTAACATTAAACTATGCAAGTAGCATCTATGTTTTCTAATATAGCGAGTTTCCAAAAGCAGATAACACTCTGATTTTATTTTAATTCATGTAAGTATAAGGTCAATTCTTCCAGGTCTTGGGCCTTACTCAGGCAAAACTTGCATTTAAGCCAGTGGGGTTTTTCCCTAAATAAGTACTGACAAATAGCCTGCAGGACTTGAGTAGTAATGTGTTTGAAAGTTGCACTTTGGTTAGAGTAACAATAGCAGAGTATTCTTAGTGCTTTGTTGATATATTAATGCTCTCCACCTTTTTTAGTTTCTTCCAGATTTAAGATAAACTATAAATTAAAAAAAACAACCCCACAAGCTTTTTGGGTTGTATGGACAAAATTCATTTCTGGCATAACCCCATTGATTTTAATAAGGTCACACCAGAAATGGCTCTGGCCCTTATTTTTGAGTTTGGGTCTTAAAATCTGGATTTATCTATCAAGAGTGAAGTATAACTCAGCAGAAAGCCCTCTGAGAGGTTCTGCTTTAGGCTGTGATTCTGGAATGCACTTAAGCATGTGCATAAATTGCTATGAAGTCAATGGGATTTATGCACATGCTTAAGTACTTTCCTAGGGGAAGACCACACGAGTAAGATTCTGTCAGATTTTTAGTATCAAGGCCTGATCAATGATCAGTCGCGAGTAAGAGCCAAATCCTATGTGTGCCTTACACATCTTGATTTTAATAAGGTGGCTTTTGAGAACCAAGAATGGCAAATTTAGTTATCTTTTTATTTTCCACCAGGCAAATAGCTGTTATTCCCATTATACATGGAGTTTGGGTCAATGTGAGCAGTAGAACAACCCAAACAAGTTCAAGGGACAAGCCCATGTCTACAGTAACTGTATTATAAGGAATCTAAAGAGAAAGAGCTAGATTTTTAAAGGTATTTTAGGTGCATAAAAATTCATATGCTTTCGAAAATCTACTAGGCACCTATCTGCAGCTGTAGGCGCCTAAATACCTTTAAAAATCAGGCCATAAATCTCAGTACATCTGATGGGTCTTTCTCACAGCAGCTGGCTGTATCTAACATCTATTGAATGTAAATAATGAGAGTATAAAAGTTTGGAAAAAAGCTTTATGGATCATAAAACTGCCTGCCACACCTTGTTTGAGCCACGTTGCATGGCCTAACAAAGATTAACCTAGAATTCATAAACAATCTTTCCAGAATGATTAAAGCAAAACACTTTTTGTATGTGATTGCTCTTATATTCTCAGTCTTGCCTGAGCTATTATTTTGTAATGAAGACGATACCATAATACAGATAAATGAAGGAAGACACTAGAAAGTAATCTGGGATATTATGAATTCTCCCTCTCCTCCCCTCCCCCTGTCAATATTCTCACTCAGCTTCTGACAAGTAACTGGTATATATGATAGATGAAACTTAAACACAATTAGATGGGCTATCTAGCTATGTCTATCTATATTTCCTTGGCTTAAGTGCCTTATTGCCAGCAACTAGACTTGAAATTGGAATTCTCTGACACAATACACACATCACAGAATGATACAATAGTTTATTTTTTTACATTTTCTTTCTTTCTCTCATTTTTATTTATGATTTCACAATGATTAAGTTCATAAACACACCCTGATTGAATTGACAAGCAAACACAGGCGGGAAACTGGATGACAATATAATAGGAAAAAAAGCTGAAATATCTGAGTAGCTTAAAGAGAAAAAAGTAGCTAGACAAGTTAACTTGAGAGCAAATGAATCAGTTGGGCTCGCTGGTATGGAAATGCCTGCGTTATAAGAAAGCATGGGTATTGCTGTGAAGAGACACAAATAATCACTCAAATTCAGGAGTTAAAGAAGTAGATGGTATGGACCATATCCTCAGCTAATGTGAACTGTTGTAGTCAATGATCAATATACCAATTAGCCCACACTGAGTTTCACTAGCTGAGGATCTGGCCTGTTATCTTCTGACCCATTTAAATCCTCGCCTGTTGAATTCCCCACTTTTTACATTTTCATCACTGCTTCTCTTTTTGCCTCTTCATGTGAAATAAAATGAAATTAATGGATATATGTTTTGGGAAATTTAGGAAAAAAGAGGCACTGGATGAAAGGATGATATAAAAATTAGAATGAATATTAAGAAAATCAAGTTGAGTGTCTAAGGTTTTAATAACTCTGGGGAATGCCCTATATAGATCACCTAAATCAGTGAACCAAACATATTTTGGAATGACAAATCTCTTTAAAGAGCAAGTTGGACTGTACTAGGGATTGGCCATAAGTTTGCTGCTGTTTGTCATATTGATGGACCAAGTCAACAGGAAGATCCCAATGGGACAAGACGAGAAGCTGCTATATGCAGATGATATAGCAATAAGAAAGAAACAGTAAACCAGTGATATGACCAGCTATAATGGCACACGATGGAAATGAGCATGACTAAAATGGAGGTCACGTGGTCAGTAAAGGTGCCATAGGAAATTGGACATAGAGATTAATGGAGTGG